AGTGTTCCAAAGGCAATTTAATACTCTAGATTTTTTTTTCATCTTTTTTTTTTTTTAATTCCCACTTCTAATTTTCAGTGTCTGTAATGTGCTAACGGGCTTTCCTTCTATTAAAAAACATGGGTGGACGTGAGAATGTTCTCCTTGGGAAAAGACAGTCTCTAGGGTTTTGCTTATGGCTTGAGGTGCTATGAGGTAGGTGTTATGAAGCCTCCCTTGCAACAGGCTGAGGTGCTAGCAAACCTGGGGGGGTGCAGCAGTTCTCCTGCTAATTTTGGCAGGAGAGGGAGACACTCGGCTACTTTAAGAGGAAAGAAGGTAGATTTTGTGATCCACTTGCAAAGCAAGATAGAATGAAATTTGTTACCCAGGCATGTCCGCAGAGCCTGTCTGTTCTCTTGTCTTAAGGCCTGTTAGGACAAAAGTAATTCAGGTTCATCCTTGTGGACCAGATAATCATTGTTCTTTTACTGGGTTATGGAGGGACAGCTCAGAGGAACATCAGGAGGGAAGGAATGGAAGGGCCAGCAGGGGGTGGTGCTGGAGGTCATGGCCAGTGCTTTGGATAGCCAAGATCATCATGGTAGCCCTGCACTGGGGTTTTGAGATATGTCAGGAGGAGGAGGCAGAGCAGTGGATGGATGACATGGACAAGACAGCTTGTGTTTCGCAATATAAGCGGGGACTGTCCCAAACTTGTCAGGAACAAGGAGCATGGTACACAGTATGCAATTACAGAGACTGGGGAGACTGATGCTTTGCTGGTCCTCAGTGGAAAAGGGGAGTAGACTAGATCTGACTCTCCAGGTCATGATTCTGTGATTCTGTGGCTTCCTTCTGTAGTAAGATGGTTTTTACACAACCATTAAAGAGAACATAGACCTTCTGATTTTATTTTTTAAATTATGGCCTGGAAATAAATCACACAGCCAAAGTCTGCTTTTTAAACCCACCATCTCATCAGCAGGCATACTTGAAAGCCATGATTACTTCATGGTCTAAGTGAAAATTTCATATTCCTGCAGAGAATTGAATTAGCATAGCCAAATCAGCAGAAAATTATCCTTGACTGGTAGATGTTTTTTTCCTACTCATTCTTCATTGCCTATGAATATGACTGAGACTTAAGCTTTCTGGCTAAAAGTAAGAGCCAATGTCTGCCAGTTGCTTTTATAGTCCCAGGAATTGTTTTAGATGTTTTGCACATACTAGTTCATACAGGTGTACTAGTTTTAGTACTTACTTATCTCCTGTTGTTGTTGCTGTTATGTGCTGTCGAGTCAGACCTGACTCATAGCCACCCATCCTTGGGTTTCTGAGGCAGTATCACTACGGAAGTAGATTGCCCAACCTTCCTTCCGAGGTTCAAACCCCCAGCCTTCTGGTTAGCAGTCAAGGGCCTTAGGCACTATGCCACCAGAGCTCCCTAGGAGGCAATAAACCTCCATTTAATAGGTAAGGAATCTGAGGATTAGAGAGATTAAGTAATGTGTCAGGGCTAGGATTGGACTCCGGGCCCAGAACACTAACTCAGAGCTCTTGTTGGAACCAACACTCTTTTTGCCCTCCACCTCTCCCAGAAGTTCTGCAGAATTAACCAGCTTGGGCTGAACGCTTTATATTTGGGTAGAACTGAGGGCATGGTATTGGGCAAGTAAGAGACCCGCCTGGGGCACCAAAGCATGAATGAGGAACCTTGGTCTCCATTAAATATAAGATGGCTCAATAAGGTATGTTATATCTGCATGCATTTTCTGAATACCGCTACTAGAATTAGAAGCTGAGTATGAACCCTAGGTTTATAATTTTCCATCTCTAGACAATAACAACAAAAGCTAATGGTGAGAGCTGATTCTATGCCAGCCACCATTCGAATATTGTTGCATCTATTAAATCATTTAAACTTAACAGCAGTCTTATGAGGTTGTTATTATGAGTTGCTGTTGAGTTGTCTCTGACTCATAGTGACCTTGTGAAGAACAGAAGGACGTGTTGCCTGGTCTTGTGCCATCTTCATGATCATTCGTCTGTTTGAGTCTATTATTGTGGCTACTGTGTCACTCCATCTCACTGAGGGTTTCCCTCATTTGTACTGACTCACTGCTTTATCAGCCATGATGTCCTTGCCTAGTGATTGGTCTTTCTTGATGAAGTGTCCAAAGTAAGCTAGTCAGAGTTCTGCCATCCTTCCTTGTAAGGCGCATTCTAATTTTATTTCTTCTATGATTGATTTGTTCATTCTTTTGGGAGTTCACATGTTGTTGTTGTTGTTATGTGCCGTCGAGTCGGACCCAACTCATAGTGACCCCTCCTTGGGTTTCCGAGGCAGTATCACTACGAAAGTAGATTGCCCCATCTTCCTTCTGAGGAGTGGCTTCTGGGTTTGAACCACTAGCCTTCTAGTTAGCAGTCAAGTGCCTTTAGGCACTACACTACCAGAGCTCCTATAGGTACTATCATTATTCTCATTTTCCAGATGAGGACACTGAGGACCAGAGTGGTACAGAAATGCAGGTGAGAAGTGAGCCCAGCTGTTTCCCCATGATGTTAAACTGCCTCTCGGCACAAAACTCACCAGAGAAACCAAATTCACTGCCATTGAGTTGCTTCCTACTCGTAGAGACCGCCTTTGGGTTTCCGAGGTAGTAAATCTTTACAGAAGTCAATTGCCCAGTCTTTCTTCTGTGGAGTGGCTGGTGGGTTTGAACCACCAACCTCCTGGTTAGCAGTCCAATGCCTTAGGCATTATACCACCAGAGCTCCTTCTCTCAGCACAAGGCTTCAGCAAATCCAGAAATACTTGCTCTGTGACCAACAAGACACACCATCCTTCGGGGTAGGATGAAGCCAAGTAGAAGTGGATGTTGAACTACACTGTTCATGATCTTTGCATTTGAACCAGGTGGAACAGAAGGTCAGGTGTGGTTCTTTTTCAGCAGGACTTCTTTGTAAGGATGAGGAAGGGGATGTCTGACAGGAAAGCCTCATGGTGTCATCCACGGGCTGCCCCATTGATTTTGCTGCACTGACATTCCATCAATGACATTTCTTCCTAGAGTAAGAAGGCTTGAGTTTTTTGGTACTTTTTTAATACACAATTTGGTTGTAAGCTACTTAGTGTTTCAGTATTGTGTTTGCTCACTGTATGTTCAGTGAATGTTACCACTTACTGCCGTTGAGTCAGATCCAACTCATAGTGGCCCCTCCTTGGGTTTCCGAGGCAGTATCGCTACGGAAGTAGATTGTCCAATCTTCCTTCAGAGGAGTGGCTGGTGGGTTTGAACCACCAGCCTTCTGATTAGCAGTCAAATGCCTTATGCACTGCCCTTCCAGAGCTCCTATGAATGTTATAATGGGTTAAAATGTGGTGTTAGAACTTGCCAAGGGGCACTTATAACCTAGCTATGAGGGAAATTAAGTTAAATTAATTAAAAGCCTCAGTCCATAATTACTCAGTGTGGCCTCCAGGTTGTCTGTGATCTGGCTTTCTTTCCCTTTCCAGCCGAGTCTCATAATGTGCCCCTTCCTGGCCCTCCCTGCCCACAGTCTAACCAACCATTTGCAGGTCCCATGCTGCCAGGCTATCTGTAAGTTCTCCATTGCTCTCACTACCCACCCCCAGGACTTCCCTCTTTATTCATTCAAAACTCAGTTCAAATTTTGCCATTACTGTTAAGCCTTTCTTGACTGCCCTTCCCCAACCAGTAACACTGACCACTTACTTGTTTTGTATTCTGACTGTATCTTGAATAGTATCAGTGACACTTGAGAGTCCACAAAATAGGAATAGCAGTATTGGCTTACATTTGTGGACTACTTGATATGCGATAGGCACTACAATACTAGATACTTCCTGCTGCTTGTGTCATACAACTCTTGTAGCTTCCTCTTGAAGTAGGTGCTAGTGTTCTTGTCAATAAACAGATGAAGAAAATAAGGCTCAAAGAGACGAAATGAGATCCTCAAGTACTAGCCAACTATGTACATCAGAGCAGAACTTCGCTTCACATGGTTTTAGTCATTGATTTTTTGGAAGTTGATTGCCAGGCCTTTCTTTCAAGGTACCTCTGGGTGGACTCGGTCCTCTAAACTTTTGGTTAGTAGCTGTGTGCATTAACTGTTTATACCATCCAGGGTCTCCTTCCCAAGTACACAGGGCCAGAACTTACCTTCATGGGACCATGTTTTTTGAGGGCAAGGAGCGTTTTACTTGAGTCAAGACTCAGTTGGGATATATACAAATAGTCTAGACCATTTCCCATTCCTGACCTTGAAGCTTGGCAGAGGTGTGGGGATAAGGAGTGGTTGTTGTTGTTATTTGCCATTGAGTCAGACCCGACTCATAACGACCTCTCCTTGGGTTTTCAAGGCAGTATCACTACGGAAATAGATTGCCCAACCTTCCTTCTGAGGAGTGGCTGGTAAATTTGAACCACCAGCCTTCTGGTTAGCACTCAAGTGCCTTAGGCACTATGCTACCAGATGCATTAAAACTACTCAAATACATATGGAAGGGGAACCTGAGATGTTAATGCTAATAGAAGGTTCCTTTCCTCCTCATATCCTTTACAGCAGCATCACAGGGTACTTAGTAAGCATTCAATAAACATTTGAATATTGTTCTTTTAGTCATGTCCCCCATTCAGAGCTTGCCAAGATCATGGGGGCTGTTGCAGGTGGAAAAAGCCTCAAGGGGACATTGACAAGGCTTGAAGAAGGAGGGAAGCATGTTGAGGGAACTGTGGGCAAAGGCTGATGCACTTGTAGCACTTAGCTAACAGGTAATATTTTCTTGAGTTCTATAATATCTTCTTATTATTAATATCTTGTCTGCCCTTCAAATTGCCAAACTGGCACAAGGGTTTTCCGCACTAAGCCAGTGCCCGGAAAACCACAGCACCAGGAGGCTGAAGTGACCATTTCGATTGCTTCTGTGATTCCTGACTCTTACTCCATTATTCTCGGTGTTTGGACTCATTCCACTGGAATTTTGTTTACAGGTTAACATGTTTGTTGAAGGATTCCATGATGCTATCCTCCTCTATGTCCTGGCCTTACATGAAGTGCTCAGAGCTGGTTACAGCAAGAAGGATGGAGGGAAAATAATCCAGCAGACGTGGAACAGAACCTTTGAAGGTGAGAATTCTGTCTGTAAGGCAGTGGCACTTTGCTGTCAATTTAATTACATTTTTCCTGGTTCTGATTTTTTCTTTTACCACTCTGGGACCTTGCTGATGTCTTGCTTGTTTTCAGCTATAGAGTCAAGGTAATGATTCAAGATAAACCCACTTCACAGCCTTGTTGTGAAAATTAAATTAGATAATGTTTGTGAATGTGCTGTGAAAAAGTCCTGCTAAAATAGAACATGCCTTATTACTCTTCTTCTTATTGAGTTAACAACTCCATGCTTCTTGATATCAAATTTATGAAGTCTAATTCACAAAAGATTAGTTTGTGAAGAGTTCTATGATAATCTTTAAGAGAAGTAGTAATCTCACATTTACCTTCCTATGTTGAGAATGTGTTAATCTTGTCATACTCAGGAAATATTAGCTGTCCTGGTTAAATTGGGTGATTAGAGACCTCTGCTTATTATTTTATTTTTGAACAAGTGTGTGTTAGTTGTTTTCTTAAATATAACAAAGTATAAGAACAACAACAAAAAAAACCCATAATCTCATCTCTCAGGCAACCTCTGTTAACATTTAAAAATTGCCCAAGAATGAGATTATTCTTGGCTAGAAAATTTAAGCAGTACAAAAATATACAAAATTAAAAGTGAAAGCTTTCCTTCCCGCCCTAGCCCCCACACCCCAACATAATCACTATTAACAGTTTCCTATGATTCTGTCGAAAAATATTTTATGACTTTTGCCAGAACATGTCCATTTGTATATCTTATCTAAAAAATTTACACAAAAGTAGTTGTCATGAGTTGAATTGTATCCCCCCTAAAATGTGGGTCAACTTGGTTGGGCTATGATTTTCAGTGGTTTGGCAGTTTTGTAATATTGTAATTTGGCACTTAAGTAATGATGTAATCTGATATGATCAACCAATCAGTTGTAAAGATATTAAAGTGACATGCAACACCCTTGCTCAAGTTCATAGCGCTAAGGCAATGTACAAGGCCCTGTGGTGTGGCCTATATCACCTTTTATTTTAAAAGAGAGAAAAGGAGAGAGAAGTGAGCAGAAAGGAGTCAATTTACTACCATCAAGAAAGAAGAGCCAGGAATGGAATGTTCCTTTTGACTGGGGTCCCTGTGCTGAGAACTTCTAGACCTGGGGAATACTGATGCCAAGGCATATGGAGCTCTCCAAGGAATGTCAGGTTCACAGATGTTGAAAGGAGACAAGGACCTTTCTCTAGAGCCAACAGAGAGACAAAGCTTTGCCCTAGAGCTGGAGTTCTGAATTCAGACTTTTAACCTCCTAAATTATGAGAGAATAGATTTCTGCTTTTAAAAGTATCGACTTGTGGTATCTCTGTTATAGAAACACTGGATAACTAACAGAGAATTTGATACTGGGAGCGGGGTGCTGCTCCAACAGTACCTAAAATGTGGACGTAGTTTGGGAATTGCGTAATGGGTAGAGGCCTAATAGTAAAAACCTAGAAGTTTTAAGATGCCTAATAGTAAAAACCTAGATTGTCTTGAAGAGACTCTTGGTGGAATTCAAAAGCATTTCTGATGAGGGCTTGCTCAGAATGAAATGAAATGAAGAGAGCTGTAACTCTGGAGACAATACAGATGATAAGAAACAATAGCAGGTAAATGGCGGCAACAGAACCAGGAGACTGCCATGAGATGGCACAGGATCCAACCTATTAAGCAAGAGAGCTGAGTGCCTTGGGGCAGGAGGCTTCCTGACAGAGTGGAGTACTTCTGGGTACTTGTCAGAAAAGCTAAGCTTGCTGACTCATGGAGTGAGAGAACTGAGCACATTTGGGCCGAGTCTTACTGTCGGAGTGGGTTGTCTCTGAGCACTTATCTGCAGAGCTAAAGAGCTTTGTAACACTTGCCCACACAAGACAGTGGCCAAGGCAACCCAGGAGGCCTGTCATGGATTGAATGGTGTCCCTCCAGAATATGTGTCAAGAGAAGTAGTAAGCCCACATGGCTAGGCCATCATTCTCAGTGGTTTGGAAGTTCTATAATGATGTAACTTGGCAGTTGTGTAATGATATAATCATTCTCCACGATCTGATGTGATCAATCAGTTATTTATAAGAGAATTAGGGTGAGATACAACACCCTTACTTGTATCACAGATCTAATCCAAAATAAAGGGACTAGGGTGGGAAGCAGCACCCTTACTCAGGTCACAACCCTGATCTGATATAAGGGAAGTTTCCCTAGAGTATGACCTGCATCACCTCTTATCTTACAAGAGAGAAAGGCAGAGAGAAGCTAGCAGAGAGAGAGGGACCTACTACCACCAAGAAAGAAGAACTAAGAATAGAGTTCATCCTTTGGACTCAGGGTCCCTCTGCTGTGAACCTCCTAGATCTAGGCAAAGACTGATGGCAAGATACTTGGAGATCTCCAAGGGATATGAAATCCACAAATGTTGGAAGAAGACAAGGATCTTCCCCCAGAGCCAACAGTGAGAGAAAGCCTTCCCTGAGAGTTGGTGTCCTGGATTCAGACTTCCAGGCTTCTGAACTGTGAGAGAATAAATTTCTGTTAGTTAAATCCATACACTTGTGGATTTCTGTTATAGCAGCACTAGAGAACTAAGACAAGACCTGAGGGGTAAAGGGCTGAGACACCAGGGAACCAGGAAGCATAAGCTAAAGAGACAAGGATCACAAGAAGCAGCTCTTGTGGTCATCACCCCTAAGGTCTCAAAATGTGGAACCATGGCCTGCTGTGTCTCAAAGGGTGGGGCCATGGCCTCCTGGGTGTCCAAGAGTCAGATTTTCAACTCAGTGTGGGGCTGCCATTCTCTAGTGACAGGGGGATGAAACCAAATCTGCTACTTGAAGCTAGGGGGAGAGGGCTGCCATGCTCAAGGGGCAGAAGAACAAAGCCTGTTGGGGCTGAGCGGGTGGGGTCTCCACTCACTTGGACTCGGAGAGTGGAACTACTCAAAGCTGAAGGAGCAGAGAGAGTTGCTGTCTCAGTGAGCCTGGAAAGCAGAACTGAAGCCCATGGCCGAGGCGCCTCAACTCAGAATCCAGAAAGTATGGCTAACACCTAGAGTCTGGAGGGGACAGCTACTGCCTAGATGGCCTCAGAGAACAGAGGATTATTTTCAAGCCTTGAGAGAGAATGCAAATTGTTCTGGTGGGTTTTTGACTTTCTTGGTGCCAGCTATTCCTTCTTGCCTTCCAATTTCTCCTGTTTGTAATGGAAATGTCTACCTGTGCCTGTTCCATTGTAGTTTAGACACAGATAACTTGTATTCTAGACTCACAAATGAATCAGAATTTTGCCCCAGAATGGAATTTGGACTTGGAGTTGATTTAAGACTTTTGGGATGGTGTGATGAAGTAAAAGAATTTTGCATGTGGCAAGGGCATGAATTTTGGGGGACTGAAGAGTGAAATGTCATAGATTGAATTGTGTCCCCCCAAAATACGTGTCATCTTGGCTGGGCTATGATTCAAAGTCATTTGACAATTATGTAATGATATAATCATCCCCCATGATGTGATCTCATGTGATCAGCCAATCATTTGTAAAGGGATTAGGGTGGGATGCAACAACCTTATTCAAGTTACATTCCTTTGGATCCAGTGTCTTTGTGCTGAGAACATCTTAGACTCAAGCTAAGATTGATGCCAAGACACATGCAGGTCTCAAGGAATGCCTGGTTCACAGATGTTGAAAGTAGACAAGGGCCTTCCTCTAGAGTCGACAGAGAGAAGACCTTCATCTAGGGCTGGTGCACTGTATTTTGATTTTTAGCACCCTAAACTGTGGGAGAATAAATTTCTGTTTGTTAAAGCCATCCACTTGTGGTATTTCTGTTATATCAGCACTAGAGAACTAAGGCAGGGGTCATAACATGAATACCATTCTTCATCCTAGGTTTTCTAGTTGATATTCAAGTAAAAGAATTTTTCATTTCAGCACTTACAGATCCAATATATTTTGGCTCTACAATAATTTCTTTACCCAGTCTCCTACTGATGGACACTTGAGTTGTTTACTGTTTTCACTATTATGTAAAATGCTGCCATGATTATCTTGCACATCTTGATGAATTTTTGTGGGTACATTCAACAGGGAAGATTCCTAGTTACAGGATTTCTGGGATTCTTAGTATGTTGGTGCTTTTAAAAATGCATTGGATATTGCCAAGTATCTTCCAGAAAAGTCCACTAATTTGTATTCCTGCTGACAGCATAGAGGAGTTCTGATATCCTTTTACCTCAAAAAAAAAAAAAAAAACCAAACCAAACTCACTGCTGTCGAGTTGGATCCAACTCACAGTGACCCCTCCTTGGGTTTCCAAGGCATTATCACTGAGGAAGTAGATCAGCAACACTCAAAGAACGCTAACATGAAATTCAATATAGGAATGACTTAGTGGGTGGTTCCCTGCAGATATCAACTTTGTATTTATTCATTCATTCAATAAATATTCATGGGGCACCTGATATGTGCCAGACACTGTTCAAGGTGCTGGGGAGTCCCCAGTGAACTAAAGACATTCCCGCAATAAACTAAACTTACATACTAGTGTTGAGGGAACTGACAGCAAGCAAACACACCACTTCAGGGATTGTTAGTGCTGTGAAGAAAGTTAAAGCAGAGTAGGAAGCACTGGGGACACAATGCTTAAGGACATAGTTGCAAACTAAAAAGTCAGAGATTTGAACCCATCAGCCTATCCATGTGGGAAAGAAGTGGCAGTCTGCTTCTGTAAAGATTACAGTCTTGGAAACCCTATGAGACAGCCTATAGGGTTGCCAGGAGTCAGAATCTACTCAATGGCAGTGGGTTTGGCTTTTTGGTTTAGGGAGATAGAGGAGGGCAGTGGTGATTCCTTGGCAGAACTCTTGCCTTCCTTGCAGGAGACCTGGCTTCAGTTCCCAGCCAATAAACCTAATGCATAGCCACTGCCCATCTGTCATGGAGGCTTTTGTGCTGCTGTGTTGCCAAGCAGGTTTAAATGGAGCTT